CGGTTGTCTCTTCACTCTCCTGACTGTTTCTTTTGCAGTACAGAAACTTCTCAATTTGATGCAATCCCAATAGTTGATTTTGGCTTTGACTGCCTGTGCCTCCCAGGTCTTTTCCAGAAACTCTTTGCCTGTGCCAATATCTTGAAGGGTTTCTCCAATGTTCTGTAATAACTTGATGGTGTCAGGTCGTAGATTTAGGTCTTTAATCCATGTTGAGTGGATTTTTGTAGGTGTAAGGTAGGGGTCTTGCTTCATGCTTCTGCATGTGGAAATCCAGTTTTCCCAGCACCATTTATTGAATAGACTGTCCTTGCTCCAGGAATTGGTTTTAGATCCTTGATCAAATATAAGTTGGCTGTAGATGTTTGGGTTGATTTCTGGTGTTTCAATTCTGTTCCATTGGTCTATCCATCTGTTTCTGTACCAGTACCATGCTGTTTTGATTACAACTGCCCTGTAGTATGTCCTGAAATCTGGTATTGAGATGCTTCCGGTTTTGTTTTTGTTGTACAAGATTGCTTTAGCTATTCGAGGTCTCTTTTGCCTCCATATGAATTTCAGCATCATTTTTTCTAGATCTGAGAAGAATGTCTTTGGTATCCTGATTGGAATTGCATTGAATCTATAAATTGCTTTTGGGAGAATGGACATTTTGATGATGTTGATTCTTCTAATCCATGAGCATGGAAGATTTTTCCATTTTTTGGTATCCTCTTCTATTTCTTTCTTTAAGGTTTTGTAATTCTCATCGTAGAGATCTTTAACGTCCTTGGTTAAGTTTATTCCAAGGTATTTGATTGTTTTTGTAGCTATTGTGAATGGGATTGATCTTAGCAGTTCTTTCTCAGCCGTGGCATTGCTTGTATATACAAAGGCTGTTGATTTTTGTGCATTGATTTTATATCCTGCCACTTTGCCAAACTCCTCTATGAGTTCCAATAGTCTCTTAGTAGAGTTCTTTGGATCCTCTAAGTAAAGAATCATATCATCTGCAAAGAGGGATAGTTTGACTTCTTCCTTCCCAATTTGTATTCCTTTGATTTCTTTTTCTTGTCTGATGGTTCTGGCTAAAACCTCCAGAACTATATTGAATAGCCGTGGTGAGAGTGGGCATCCCTGCCTGGTGCCAGATCTCAGTGGAAATGCAAGGAAGACCTTTCTCTCTGTCTCTTTCACACTATCCACTCTGCCTGTCCAAAAAAAAAAAAGTTGAAAATGGGAGTGGGAATGGGAGAGGGAGGAGGAGGATGGGTGGGAGAGTGGGTGGGAGGGTGGGTATGGTGGGAAGAATCACTATATTCCTTAAGTTATACATTTCAAATGCATGAAGTTTTTATTCTTTAAATAAAAGGTTTCTTTGAGGGGAAAAAAGAAATGTCAGATACAGAAAGAAATATGTTTTATATTTGGGAACATCAAAATGTTTGTAGAAAATGGAGTTAGAAAATGTTTGTTTTGGTGCAAAAATCTTTTAAATACATGCCTAGTTATTTATGCATTTTCCATGAAGTTTTTGAAGAGCTATCATTTGTTGAAACTAAAAAAGCTGACCTCAGAGCACTAACAGGTAGAATATTGGTTACCAGAAGCTTGGAAGGGTGGAAGTTGGCCGAATGAAGAAGATGGTTAATGGGTATAGGTATGCAGATGGATAGGAGGAATAACTTCTATATTCTATAGCATAGTAATTATTTCAAAGTAACCAGTACAGAGGACTTTGAATGTTTTTGACAGAGAAAATGATAAGTATTTAAAGTGCTGGATATACCAGTTACCCTGATCTGAACATTATGCATTATTAACATGTATAGATATATCACTCTGTACCCTGTAAATATGAGTGATCCATAACAAGTTCGTGGCAAATTCATATTAGGCACTGATTTCAAATATTTCTGAATAAAAAATAAATTTATCTTTTAATTCCATTTTCTACACATCTTATGAAATTCCCTTGAAGGTATAATGAATAAATCTCAGTGAAAAATGTTTCTGAAAAAAGTGTTGGTATGTCCTGATTGGCTTCAGCTGTGTTTGTAGATTTCAGTTTAATCTTGTTTATCCCTCAGCTTACATCCATCCTCCTGCCCCAAATGCCTGCACTGTGGCATTCAAACTGAGGCATCAGACGTGAAAACAACTGAGAGAGACTGCTTATATAGTCCCCTCAATTGTGTATGATACATTACTGTAACAAGTTCCTTGATAAATAAATTCATTAATTTCTTTTTTTTTTAAATTTTTAAAAAATTTATTTGACAGGTAGAATTATAGGCAGTGAGATAGACAGAGAGAAAGGCCTTCCTTCCTTCCGTTGGTTCACCCCCCAAATGGCTGCTACGGCTGTCACTGTGCCGATCCGAAGCCAGGAACCCAGATGCTTCCTCCTGATCTCCCACGTGGGTACAGGGGCCCAAGCACTTGGGCCATCCTCCACTGCCCTCCCGGGCCACAGCAAAGAGCTGGACTGGAAGAGGAGCAGCTGGGACTGGAACTGGCGCCCATATGGGATGCCGGCGCTGCAGGCAGAGGATTAGCCAAGCGAGCCATGGCGCCGGCCCCAAATTCATTAATTTCTAAAGACCCAGAACATCAAGGTGGTTCACAATTCAAAAAAGGGGTTTATGGGGGGCTGGCACTGTGGTGCAGTGGGTTAAAGTGCTGGCATCCCATATGGGTGCTGGTTTGAGTCCTGGCTGCTCCACTTCCTATCCAGCTCTCTGTTGATATACCTGGGAAATCAGCTGAGGATGGACAAAGTCCTTGATCCCCTGCACCCTGTGGAAGACTCAGAGGAAGCTCCTGGCTCCTGGAGGCTTCGATTGGCTCAGCTCTGGCCATTGTGGACATTTGGGGAATGAACCAGTGGATGGAAGACCTCTCTCTCTCTCTCTCTCTCTCTGTGTGTCTCTATTGCTCTCTGTAACTCTGTCTTTCAAATAAATAAACAAATATTTAAAAAGGGGGGTAGGTTTATGAAGGTTAGGTGATCATTAGAATTTTAGCTCAGTCTTTTTATTCAAAGTATGTCTTGTGGATCACTAGACCCCTCAATGGTTATTCCTCCAAAATGGAATGTATAATTGGAATAAACTTACTCAGAAACTGGCAGAATACCAGTTCCTTGACTCTCAGAGTAAAGACTTTAGGATAGGGGCCAGCGCTGTGGTACAGTGGGTTAAGGCCCTGGCCTGCAGCACCGGCATCCCATATGGGCGCCAGTTTGAATCTTGGCTGCTCCACTTCCAATCCAGTTTCCTGCTAGTGCCCCTGGGAATGCAGCAGAGGCTGGCCAAAGTCCTTGGGCCCCTACACTCATGTGGGAGATCCAGAAGAAGCTCCTGGCTCCAGGCTTCCAATTGGCTCAGTTCTGACCATTGCTGCCATTTCAGCAGTGAACCCATGGATGGAAGACCTCTGTTTCTATCTCTCTCTGTAACTCTGTCTTTCAAATAAATAAAATAAATCTTTTAAAAAAAGACTTTAGTATAAGAAGAACAGATGGGAACTACCACATGTCCTTAATATAATCCCTTCTTTCCATATCTATTGTTGCTACATGTCCAGATGATCATTCTCTCTCACCTGGTCTATTGCTTTACTTGATTCCTTGCTTTAGCTTAAGGAATTCTGTAAGCAGCCAGAGTAAGCTTTCCTAGGGGTAAATCAATTTATGTCATTCATCTGCTCTAAATCCTCCAATGAGTTTTAATGAAAGCTAATGCTTCTATCTCCCATCTCATAAAGTTATTATTTCTACCTCCTTACCAAGTAGAATGTAAACTCTGAGTGCAGTGACTTTGATTTGTACACTGTTGAATCCTTAGTGTGTAAAGCAGTATCTAGCTCACAGTTGACAGTTGATAACTACTTATTTACTTTTTAAATGATTTATTTATTTTACTTGAAAGCCTGAGTTACACAGAGAGAGGAGAGGCCCCAATTGGCCCCAATGGCTGGAGCTGCACTTATCTGAAGCCAGGAGCCAGGAGTGTCCTCTGGGACTCCCATGTGGGTGCAGGGGCCTAAGGACTCCCATGCCATAGCAGAGAGCCAGATCGAAAGTGGAACATCTGGGACTTGAACATACCGTATGGGATGCCAGCACCACAGGTGTCGGTTTTACCCACTACACCACAGTGCTAGTTCCTTGATAACTATTTATTGAGTAAATGAATAAACATCATTGCAGGAGAGGCATCCCTCATTGCCTATGGGTAAATTTAATACCAGTGGGATATGTTACAAGATCCACTGAAGTGGAATAAGTTAGCCACATACTTCATTCTAACTTTCTTCAATTATACAACTTGCACTTTGATCTTTGATGGTTCCTGCATCTGTTGCATTAGGGGAGATGGGATTGTTCTTTACTGTCCCCAAAAGTCACAATCACAAATTCCAGAAAAATGAAATAAATATTCATTTTAAGGTTATACCCAGTCCAAGCAGTGTGAAAATGTTTAGTGTCAGTATTTAAGGAACCATCCATTAGGACTTGTTCTGAGCACACTGAAGTTCTGACTTTTCAGCCCTTGAACACCAAGCAACTAGTTACACTCTTACGAAGACATGGAACCTGAACACTGATTATCTTAAACCCCCAAACTGCCAGGACTGAAGTTCCAGCTGCATGACTGTAGCTCACTGGGGGCTGATAGGAGTAATCCTTCCTTAGTTTTAACTTATTGTCAAGTGTTTTCTTGTTTCCCACAGTATAAAGAAGGTTGCTCCTAAGTATGTTGTGCAGAGCAGAAAGGTGAGTGGTTAAAAGGAAAAAAATAGGTGCAACAAGAGTCCTTTAAATTAGTCTGTAGAGCATTTACTATACCTGAAATATTTTATAATGTCTTTTCTAGTTATGCACATGCTTTCTTCTTTCAGAATACTTTGACAATTGCAGCCAAAGAGACTTAAAGGATGGTAGTTTTAAAATCAAATTGCATTTATGGATCATTTGTGTCAGAATAGATCTCCACCAAAGTCACTCATTACCTGCGTTGTTTCAAAAGCAGCTTCACATTTTAATTGCAGAAGACAAGCTACACAACTGAAAAATAAGAGCATCTAATCCAGTCTGAATTCCTTTCCAAGAGAATAATCAACAGTGTTGTTAAGAAAATTAAATAGATACATGGTTCCCTTGTAGCCATTATTGCATATTCAGTGCTGAGACTTCTGGTTTGGTTGCCATTGAGGGATTTTTCTTTGAACATGTGAAAATCAAGGTAACAGTTTATTGTCAGACTTTTGTTGCTATGGAAGTATTCATTATCTTGGAACATCTAATGAAAGGAAACAAGCAGAATTAGTGTAGGTATAAATGGAATATGAACTTGTGACCCCCCTGTATTACAGCTAGAGCAAGTTCTCTTCCTTCCTTTCTCAATACTTTGCCCAAAGCTGATCTGTGGAAATATAGGATAGCATTTGGAGAGGATGAGTGTTCTGGAGAGTCAGGGGAGATAAACCAGGACGAGAGTGTCTTACAATGCTCACTCTGGAGAGGTAGAAGCACCAAAGTGAAGTTTGGGTATGTCACTTGGCAATGTCTATAAATACAGAGTTTTGGCTTTGTGTCTTTAGAAACATCAAGTGATTGATACAAGATCCAGTTTCTAGATTCTTCATAAGACCTAAGCAACAAATGTCATACAAGCCTGATTGCTCTCATTAGTAATTTCTTTCCAAAATAATTCAGACAGCATTATATTCATGTCTTCTAACTATCCACATCCTTGCTGTCATCTATCTGACCCTTTCTCCTTGGCTCTGAACACTAATCTCATACACAACTAAGGCCTCTCATCCTGTCTCAAAGGAGCCTTTCCGTCAAGCCTTCAGTTATCTCTATGGAGCAAAATTTTGTAGCTTGACTTTTGGCTTCTGTAGTGCCAGAATTGCTATATGGGAAAGGCATGGAGGTTATAAGAGTGTTGGTGAGCAGGGTCTGGAGATCTGTAGAGAAGTTGTATGGGCAACAGAAAGAGAAAGCACACGTGCTTCTAAAAAACGTTGGCCCCCAAAGTGGGAGTCTTCACTCACATCTCTCTGGTGAGGACTGATCACATGGTCACGTGCAGGGTTGGGAAATCAGGTTCCCAGCCATCTCTGCCTAGGCACTATGCATGCCACAGAGTGAAGGAAAGTGCAAAACTCACAAGCTTCAAAACAGAAAGCTGATTTTTATAGAGAGCACACAGCAAACAACAAAAAAATTCTAAGAGTTCAAATGATAAGAGGAGATAGATACAATTGAAAAACTTACCATTTTGATGTTGTTTCTGATGTTAATCTCCAGAGTGCTGGGTGTATGGTAAATTAAATTCTTTGGCATACAAACATTGCCTGAATCAGAGACTGAAGCTTAGTAAATAATGCTACACAAAAGTAAAGTTTCTTTGCTCAGGGAAGGCTTTACTTTCTCTGTCCCATGTGCCTAATACAACAGCCAACTCGCAGAAGGGTTATAGTGTCAGTCAGCTCTGGATAGTGTAATGAAGCAAGGACAATGCTGAGAGACTCCAACAAACACACATACACACATAAACACTCATACAGACGTATACACTCATAAATACACACAGGCATTTTGGGAAGATCTTAATATTTTGAAAACTTAAGATAAAATGATTTTAAGCACCTTTAAAGGAAGAAAATACAAAGTTATAATGTAGAATTATATATTTATGAAAGGAAATAATTATCTAAAGTGAAAATCACAATTTGCAAATTTTAAAAAGGTGGTAAGTAAAATAAGTGTCACAAAGAAAATTAACATTGTTATTAATTACCTGACACTTCTCAAATGCTTTCTTGCCCACATTTTTGACTATGTGATTACTTCATATGAAATATTTAGTATAGAGATAAGGAAGATGATTTGGCATTTCCTCGGGCACGATTAATATTTTTTTATTACTGACTGTTAAGAATCACAACATATATAACTTTAGGCAATAGTGTTTTGCAAGGTTATACTTTATAATTACAGAGATTCTGTAAGTTCTTTTAAAATAATTTCATCCAAAAAGAAAAAAAAAACTGTATTGGGTATTCATGATTGTACATAAAATATGTTAGTGAATGCCATTTTAAAAATGTTTATTTTTAATATATTTAAAAGGGATAGAGAGAGAGAAAGAGAGAGAAAGAAACAGAGAGAATTTCCATCTACCCATTCACTCCCCAAAATGCCCACAATAGCCAGGGTTGGGCCAGGCTGAAGCCATGAGCCCAAAACTCCAATGAGGTCTCCTACCTGGGTGGCAATGACCCAGGTTCTTGAGATATCATGTGTTGCCTCTCCGGGTATGTTAACAAGAAGATGGATAAGAGGGGTAGGTAGGACTCAAATCAGCACTTCAATATAGGATGTGAGTCTTCCAAGTTGTGGCTTAACCTGCTGTGCCACAATGCCACCCCTGAATATATTCTTACCAGAAGAGAGTCTCCATCCCATAAGATGTTGATGAGATTTCACCAAGCTTATGTGTCTGACTGTTGGGGGAATTTTCCATTGGTCCACTCCAGCTGCATATTTTACAATCTTTCAAAATATCCTCCACCCATGATCTGGTCCCAGACATTGGAAACATATCCATGCCTTAAAATGACCTCTCTGTGAGGCTGGTGCCATGGAGCCAGCATCCCATATGGATGACAAGTTCTAGTCCTGGTTGCTCCTTTTCCAGTCCAGCTCTCTGCTGTGGCCTGGGATAGCAGTGGAGGATGGCGCAGGTGCTTGGGCCTCTGCACCCGCATCCAAGAACAGGAAGAAACTCCTGGCTCCTGGCTTCGGATCGGTGCAGCTTTGGATCAGTGCAACTCGGGCTGTTGTGGCCATTTGGAGAGTGAACCAATGGAAGGAAGACCTTTCTCTCTGTCTCTCTGTCTGTAAACTCTACCTGTCAAAACAAACAAACAAACAAAAAACCTCTCTGTGCTTTCACAGTGGTAGTAGGAATAATTCTGAGAGTTGTAGCTAGAAATAACTATTCATGGAAGTGACTGTAAGTGACACATATACTCCACAAACTCAAACTAAATGTATCTTCAACTTACATTTTGAAAAAATCCCCAAAATGTATGTAGCTACCACAGTGCCACAGCCCTAGTGTGAGTGGGGGCAAGTCAGAATGGAAAGAAGTAGCTATCTTGATTCACTGAAATGAAAATATCCAACTTTCATGAATTAAATAAAAGCGGATGCATACATTGTTAGGACCTTTACCATTCAGGGGTCAGCCTGAAAAACAGAACCAGTAGATGGGGCTAGTGCTGTGGTGCAGTGTGTAAAGCTGTCTCCTGCAGTGCTGGCATTCCATATGAACGCTGGTTCGAGTCCTGCCTGCTCCACTTCTGATCCAGCTCTCTGCCATGGCCTGGGAAAGTAGTAGAAGATGACCCAAGTCCTTGGGCCCCTGCACCCATGTGGGAGACCCAGAAGAAGCTCCTGGATCCTGGCTTCGATTGGTGCAGTTCTAGCTGTTTCAGCCAATTGGGGAGTGAACCAGTGGTTGGAAGACCTCTCTCTGCTTCTCTTCTTCTCTCTGTGTGACTCTCACTTTCAAATAAATAAATAAATCTTAAAAAAAAAAAAAAACAGAACCAGTAGAGAATACAGATTAAAAGGTTTATTGCAAGAAATTACTTTACACAACTGTGGCAGGATGGAATATTAGGTATGGAAAAGTCTGCTGTCCACAGGATTTCATTTTCATTAGGGATGCCTCAGCTCTCCTCTTAAGATCTCTCAAATGATTGAATCAGACTTCTAGATACTGTCTAGGAAAATCTCCCTTACTTAAAGTCAACTTATTATAGGCTTTAATCACACCCACAAAATACTATTACAGAAACACTTAGATTGGTGTTTAATTCAATTTCTGGTGATGGCAGTCTACGCATGTTGACAAATGAAACTCACCATCCCTGGGACGTTTCCAGGCTTTGAAAGTGGCTCATGTGAGTGAGGGTTCCTGAAGCTCACCTTCACACCTAGGGGGCACATAGAGAATGAAGAGGGAAGGGGTGAAGAAGACTCTAGAACTGCTTCACATCTTGGATCAACTGTGTCTTATAGACTCATGTACTCATCCTGGACTCGGTTACCAGGGATTGCTCTAGCTTGAGTTCATAGAGGGAACCACAGTGGATTCTCCAGGTGACTTGGTGTTTGACCCTTGAGGAATGGTAAATTAAGGATCATATTTTGTATGACATCATACAATTGGAGATTGAATAGAGTTATTTGCTTCTATTACTATATACTTGAATATAATAACAGTTGCTATCAATGAAAATCTTAGTTTTGAGAAATTGTGCTAATTTTCAATGCTCACAAAATTACCAACATTGGGCTTTTTTTTTTTTTTAAGAATAAGGACTTTTAAACATCAAGAAGGCAATAACAATTAATAGGTATTTGAAACTAATTGGCTTTTCAAAATCAATGTAGTTAACTGCATTTTTTCAGACTTGAGAGAAAGATTCTTTTGAAATAAATACGAGAGGCATGAATAATGCTTTTGAAATATTGGACATTGGGGACAAAGCACTTACTAAGTTTTTTCGTTCTTTCTTCTTTTTTTCTTTTTTGCAGATAGAATCTACTCAGGGTGATATTTTGTAAGAGTCATTGGTATACTTGTGTCAGTGTTTGATATATTTGGACCTTGGGTTTGAAATGTGGGTAGAAGTGTTCGAAGAATTAAATTTTGTTCCTCTGTTCAAGGATAAGAGCCCCTGAGAATGCTACTGCATGGGATAGAGCAGCTTCATTGTTTTCTACAGCATGCAGTGAATCTTTATGTGCATCTGCGATATCATCAGTTTTTTGTTTGCCAGAGTTTCTTTAGGTTTTGCTTTGATTTACCTCAATCACTGCTATTTTTTAAAGATTATTTATTTATTTGAAAGGCAGAGTTAGAGAGAGGCGGAAGCAGAGAGAGAGGGAGAGAAGTCTTCTATACTCTGGGTTACCATCCAAATGTCGGCAAAGGCCAGAGCTGGGCTGATCCGAGGCCAGGAGCTTCTTCCAGGTCTCCCAAACAGGTGCAGGGGCCCAAGGACTTGGGCCATTTTCTACTGCTTTTCCAGACTGTAGCAAAGAGCTGGATCAGATGCAGAGAAACCAGGACTTGAACTGGTGCCCATATGGGATGCTGGCATTGCAGGTGGTGGTTTTACCTGCTACGCCACAGTGCAGCCCCAATCATTGCTAATTTTTAAGCTCTAGATTTTGCTTAAGTCTACATGGTCAAGTACTCATAATTGGAGAGGA